ACGTGAAAATCCAGGCAGACACAGTCTCCACCACACATGTATGGAGGCCCATAAGTGATGATTGAGCAGCATTACTTTAGTATAAGTTAATAAAAAAAAATTACGGGAAAAAGCTACTGACTATATCTTCAAATAGTTTAATAGTGACAAAAAATATTGGACTGTTTTTATTGTGTGATTATCTATAGTATGTTTAATGTAAAATTCACTTTTGTTTAAGCTTGGGGTTGGGCTAGTTTCCATTGATCATTGGAGCTTGTTGAAAGTGAGCAGTTTGTGTCCGGTTAATTGAAATGTACCATGTATTAAACATACAGTTGCATTCAAGATGTGACGGTTTCTGGCTGTTGATTTCAATCGTTTGCACAATCCAGTATTTCTAAGATGTTTTTTTTTTTTACACCCTGATGTCTTCATCTTCAGGGTCATTTATTCAACAAATCATTAACAAAAGAAGTCACACAAAGTTCCCCTGTTTTTAATCCTCGTGTGAACATTTCCCACTGATTTGTGGTGTCCTGATTCAGGAGATTTTCTCTCTTTTACTTTGCTCTCCCCCCCCATCCTCCTGTGGATTCTCCTCTGTTTTCATCTCTTGCTGTGGGAATAAGGCTGACTTCTATTTATATGCTCAGATGCTGGGGAGATGCATCCTCACGGGATTTCTTTACAGCCCTCCCTGTTCACTCTTCTCTCTCTCTCTCTCTCCCTCTCTCCCCTCTGTCCTTGCCTTTTTATCCATATGAGCATATACAGCTGAGTGTTAACCTATTTTCAACATGTTGCTGATGACTAGAGCTTATAGATTCTCAATTAACCTAAGATGTATGAATTCAGATTAGACTATAATGACTAATTATTTTCTTTCAGACAATCATGCATATCAGTAGTTATCTAACCAGCAGATTGATTTCTCCTCAAACTAGAATTGATCTTGCATAAGAGCTTCTTTTTTTCTTTCTTTTCCAGAGCTTTCTTTCTCACATTGCAACATTTCCACACAGTGTTTTCTGACTCCCACAAACTCACATATGCATGCTGATAGATATACAATATTATACTGTATGCTGCAGAGAGAAATCCCCTCTAGTTATGTTATTCTCACAAACATGTTCATCCTCTAAGTGGGTTATGCTGCATATTTATCTGCTTGACTACAACACCCTGGCTACCAACTGAATTTTTTTTTACAACAGCTTACTTCAGTTTCACATTCAAGGGCACTGATCTAGTTTAGATACTGTACATTTTAACAGGTTCATTCTGATCATATGTAGTCCATCCGTTTAAATTTTAGCTTTTTTATGCACATTTTTAAAAGTTTCCTTAAAGGAATCCTTTCATATGTTTAGTGTACATAAACTAGTAATACTCTAAATACTTGTTTCACTAAGGTTGTTGATCGTAAATACAGAGTGACAAAATGTGACTTTAGACCTAGTTTAGACTCTCTGCTGGTGTTATGTATTTTTTTTGCTGCTCATCTTTAGATAAGTTGAAGTTAGCCTCAGGTTTGTTTGTACCTTAAGTTGAATAAATCTTCATTCTTAAGTCTGATAGCGACAGATGCTTCCATCCATAACAGTCGGCAGTATGTTGCTTGAGATGTAATGATATGTTCTGAAATCATACTTATGTGAGATAGAAAAGTAATTTTGATGAAAATGAATGGATAATTTGAGTTATATTTTAAGCAAAAGCCGAGTATTACCAAGTGCCAGCGTCTTTTCTTTGTTACATTGAAAGTTGAATACATTTCAGTTTGGGGAAGAGCTAACAGACCTTCTGTGAATACATCAACTGTTTCACATTTTGATCATTTATCCGTGTGGCTGTGCAGTGGTTAGCGCTGTTGCCTCACTGTGAGAAGGTTCCTGGTTTGAATCCCTGTCAGACCTCTTTTTTTCTACACCACACTGGCTACCAACTGAAAACACATTACAACAGCTTACTTGAGCTTCACATTCATGGGCACTGTTCTAGTTTAGATACTGTACATTTTAACAGGTTCATTCTGATCATATGTATCCTCTCTGTGTGGAGTTTGCATGTTCCCTCTGTCCACGCACGCAGGGTTTCCTCAGAGTACTCTGGCTTCCTCCCACAGTGTAAAAACATCCTCGTTAGGTTAATAGCTGACTCTAAATTGCCCATAGGTGTTAATGTGAGTGTTGCTGATTGTTTGTCACTATTATGTCAGCCCTGTGATTGACTGGTGAACAGCCCAATGACAGCTGTTATTGGCTCCAGCGCGCTCGCGACCCCGAATGGGAAAAAGCTATTAAAGATAATGAAGGCATGGATTTTTATCAATCGCTAGCAAGTAACCTCTGAGTGAAAATAGTGAAACTAATTCTTAACTGTAGCTCCAGTGTATAGCTTTAAAATACCTTTTGTAAGGGATTGCAATGGACAGCATACAGCTGTATACAAGGAACAGAATTTGCTGCCATGATGTCACCCACTTTTGAGCCTCAGTTTCAGAGCTTTGTCTCAGGCTTTTGGAGCCAGAAGTGACTTTTATTGTCAAGGGTGGATTACACCTCTATCCTCAGTTTGACAGGTAGTTATGGGAGTAGCCTATCACTCACAAGGTTAGCCACACTTCAAAGCAAAAAAACAGCTTTTTGCTCTATTGCGCTATAAATTAGACCATAGAGTTCACAAAAGGGGAGTTGTGTGTTTTCTTCTAAATCATTTAAACCAGCAACTGAGGCCATCAACTCATCAGGAAAAAGTTTACTGAGATAACATATCGAAGCAAGTCTTTTTCATCTTTCTTATTTCAAAAACCTCTGTGAGTCGTCGTCCAGCGAGACGCTTTCTAGGGTCTCTTTAAAGAGTCAGGTTTGAGGCACTTACACATTGACTTCAGCTTGCTGACTCAGTGGCTTAATCAATTTCTTATATACCTTTTCATGCATCAGTCGGCCAGCAGAATAGAAATATTCTTGGTAAAAGATGAATTACTCATACCTGCCTTGCTTATATTTAACTTCCTCAAAGATTAGATTTTGATATATATGTTAAGATGAAGGTTAATGTCATTTAGGTAAACACTGGGTGTCATTTGCAGAGTATCTAAACCCGAGTTTGTCCTTGTCCTTGTCTTGCCTGTGCACCTTTGCACTGTCCTGTTCTGTCAATACTCTGTGTATGTTTTTGTTGGTGTGTCTGCTGTTTGCCATTAATAACTGCATCAGGCACCCAGACTGAGAGGCTTGAAATATTCCCACAACAGCTCGAGGCACTCAGTGCAGCTCAGACACCACCTGCCACCAGGATAGAGAGGGCATGTGTTACCTGGAACAAAATGGATGGTATGACAGATCTGTGATCCGGCTCTGTAAATAGTTTGACAGCCTGATAATTGAGATCCTATCCTGTGCTATTCTTTGTCTCCATGCTGTACGGCTGGGTTGTGTCTTGATATTTTAAATATTAAAACATCCAATGACGTTTTTTTTCTCCTTTGATGATTGTATAAGCAGCCTTCATTCCTCACAGTATCCAGATATGATTTGTGGTTGTGCGTCACAGACAGGAGGTTGTTTTAAGTTGTTTTTTTTAAAGAAATGCACGTTTAAACAGACCCAAGACTTTGTCTGAATGAATGCATTGTGATCTGAAAGTTGTGTTGGAGTTGTGCATCTTGCCTGGAGCCAGCTTCAAACTCTTGTTTCCTTTGTGCACCATTTTCCCCTCTGCTGTTTTTTGTTTTAAAACGAGTTGAAATGGTCGAGCTGCTGGACTGTGAAGCGTCAAGTCTGGACCGAGCTGCTGCTGCTGCTGCTGCTGCTGCTGTGAGACAGTCCTGGCTTCTTGACAAGATGTGAAAGTCGTGTTTGAAATCTGAACCCCAACCCGTCCGACTTAATTCACCAACACATTACCTTTCAGAAGTGTCCCATTCAGTCTGTGGCCTTCTGTGATTAGCAGGTTATCACAGATCTATCTCTGTGCACAAGGACAGTTTGTGAGAAAAAAAATCTGGGCTTGGATTTGTATTCGAACAACAATCCCCCAAACAGCACGCGCGACAACAGAGGGACTGGATCTATTAATTTGCCAAATCATATTCTGGTCAAGCAAAGGCTTTATGAATAATTGATGGTAGATGTTTGAATCTCTGCAAGGTGAATTTGTGTCTCCTCAGCAGGCTGCTGTGAAATATTCCCCCAAATTCAGCAATAATGACAAACTTGATAAACAGCTACTATTCTTTCCGGAGGTTTAATTAACAAAATGTTTCTAAAAGGCTGCACATTACACCTGGAGCTGGACAGTGAAATTGTATTTTATTTGCCCTCGTTTCCATTCTGGTATTCCTCTCATACTGAAACAGTTTCTCAGAAGTTGTTTTACTTGAGGTTGTTAGCTTAGAGCTGGTGTTTTGGATACTGCTCACACTTTTCTCAGGCTCCGTGTCTGATTTTATTTTGCGCTTTGGCGTTCTGAATCTTTTTTTCGCTCAGCGTTGACATCTTTCTTGTGGTAGCTGAAGACACTTTTAAAATGTCTTTTTTCAATTTTGCCTCAGAAGTCAGTGGATTCAGTTTGGAGTTCACTCTAGTGGCTCCAGAAATAAATGGCTGAAATAACTCCTTTTCCCTATTCCCCTGGGCTCCTCTGAGATGGGACTGTGAGTTACTCACCCCTGCTCCTAAAATGCCATTTTTCTTCCTTATGTTTTTTTCCCCAGTCTATATACATTTATGTCAAGAATCTTTCTTCTGTACAAATGCATTATGGTGAGCTCACCCTGAGTGTACATTTGATCCTCTGAGTCATATGCTCACTGCATATTTTGGATTTAAAATCATGACATTTCAAAAAAGTTAAGAATTATACTAAAATGTTTAGAGTGTCAAAAAAACATTCTGTCTTAGCCTTCTTCAAACTAGCTGCCTGTATCACTTTTCAAACCTTCAAAACTGCTGCACCTCAGATTTTTTAGTCACGGCTGACTCAATCCCTGCACTCTCCGTTTGTATCCTCAGGTCCTGCTTTGGTGGGTGTCGTCAGGAAAGACTGGGCCTCTCAAAACAGCATCGCCCTCTCCTGGTCAGAGGTGGAACTGCTGCCTTCGACATTGTGGATTATGAAGTCAAATACTTTGAGAAGGTGAAGATCAATGAGGCCATTTAAACATTTCTATGTTTACCTGCCGTCAATGTTAAATGCTAGTTGTAACAGCAGTTTTATGTGTTATGTTAAAATACACTTAGATAAGGGTTTTTTTTGTCTATGTATTTTCGTCTCTCCTACCAAAACCTGCTTTTTAAAATGACTTCTTTAAATCTGTTCCTTTTTTTAGGAGCAAGAACAGCTGAGCTACTCATCAACACGGACAAAAAACCCCAGCGTGGTTGTGACAGGCCTCAGACCCTCCACTGTTTATGTCTTCCATGTGCGAGCTCGCACTGCTGCTGGTTACACAGCGTACAGCCCAAACTTTGAGTTTGCTACTGCAGCTGAAGGTACGACTGTAGGGGGGGTGAGCAGGAGGGGATTGTGCTTCTGTTTGTGCTCATAGTGTCTGTGTTTTAGTGAAGCATAGTCCTAATATTCAGTCTCGACTCATTTAGATTTGTCCTTACAGAATATACAAAAGTGTAGAGCTCATTTTAAAAGCCATAGATTTGGAGTCAACCCTATAAAACCCCTGCAGACGTTTTATGATCACTCTTAGCTATGGATCAGTGAAACTCATCAGAGGTTCTTCAGGCATGAGCCATTTATTTAAATGTTTATAAGCTGTGTAAGTTCCTGAAGCACACATAACGCTCTGTTGGTTCTAATCCTGAAATATGCTGGGAATCTCAGACTCCTACAGGATACGCACTGTAGTGGTGAATATGCAGATGTCCACCTTCACACTCTCATTCCCCCTCAAATCAATGAATACATATACATACATATGTATACCATACTTGGATTGTGCTTCTATATATGGACTATATATTCTCTGACCTTATAAAACCCATACAGTGCAAACTTTGCTTGTAGCGCCCTTCATTCATTTTCCAATTACCGGTAAATTCATTTTATACTAACTCTCTATCCTCAGATTTGTAAAGAAATCAGTAGACACATCATATAGAGATGTTTGACAGACAACATTGCTGAAAAGGTTCACAATCAAGAAGCTCAATTATTTTGCTAAACGTGACGTCTTTTTTATGTATATTGTAAAACTTTAATTATAGCCCAGGCTTTTATTTACTTTAGTCTTTGAAATGACCCTGCCTTTATTTGGTACAGGCATCCATTCAAGACAAGCTTTTAATTACTTTCAAACTAAACTTGTGCACAGAAAAGATGGACAGACTATGAAACTGTAAATACACACCAGAAATAATATTAGACTTTGTACAAAATTATGATATTGATAAATCAAATAAATTACAGATCAGCATTATTTTATCTTTCTTGGACAGATGTTGTAGTCTCATTTTTATTTTTTGTGTTGCGCTGGTTTTTTTCTCCTTATGTTTGATCTGCAAACTATTTCAACACTAAATACATAAAGGCCTCTAACTGAGACCTGCCTTTATTTGTCAAAACATGCAGCAACACCAGGCTAGTAAAAGAGACTGAGCTTAAAATTTTGATCAGCTTCTATTTGTAGTTTTACGGTATTGTGTTGTCTTTTTTGCTGAGGAACATAAGTGTAGTGGAGTAAAAATTAATTACAACTGGTGTGTAGCAGATGCATAAAATAAATATTATTATTATTATTATTATTATTATTAATAATAAATGAATTCTAAAAAAAACTGTGAATAAGGAAAAGAAGATATCATTTTAAGTGGATGTATGAGCAGTTGTCAAGTAACTATTTTTGTCAGTGTTCATTATGAGATACGTCAGTCTGAATAGGAATAACAACACAGGTATCTCTACCTGTTTTATGATTAATTTATAGCACGGTCTGCTTTAGGCCCTCAAATTGGAACAGAAGCTTTTTGAAGTGAGCTAGTTATACGATTTAAGTTTGTTCAATTGCATAGTTTTTATAGCTGCATAGTTATTTATAGATATTATTTTGTACGTTTTTTTTTTAAATATTCATTATGCATTTCTTATGTTCAGTACAATATAAAATGAAACAGCTTTTACCTCCATGCAGCAGAGTGCCTGTTCTTTGGTTTGTGTTCTGGGAGAAAGTGAGAAAGATGCTGATATGAACAGTTACTGACCTGTCCTCTCTCTGTTTTGTGTTTGTTTTGTTTTCCATTTCCTCAGATCCAGATATCGCTGATCAGGGTCAAGTTCTGGTGGTCGTCACAGCATCTGTAGGAGGCTTCTCCCTGTTGGTCATCCTCACCCTGTTCCTCCTCATCACTGGACGGTAAGACACTCCCTGTTTCACACACACGCGCGCACACACACACACACAAACACACACACACACACACACACACACACACACACACACACACACACACACACACGCGCACACTTCTGTGCTTCTCCTCTCATAATCTCCAGAGTCATGCTACAACCAGAAGTCTGTTAATGGACTCTCTTTTGCCACCAAGCAGACACTCTTATTTTCCAAATGGCTGGAGCAATTTTCTGCCTAATTACTCAGCATGTAATGCATGTACCAGCAGTTTGCTCCATTCCATTAACCTCCACAGGTTGGCTCAGACTGTTGTCTTCAGTCTGCCTCTAGTTCACAGGCTTTTACACTCGGTGGCACTTATTAATAAACTATGAATAATGGCCCAATTGCGAGATACTTTGGTCGGGATTTTTGTAAAATTGTGATTCAAGCTGAAGTAATTGTCTTTAATCACACAATTTGCTAACATCTGAAAACAACTGGACTAAGGAATGGGAGGAGTGTCTTACATACCTGCTGATTTGTGGACTACTGATCTGAAGCCTCCACTTTAGCATGTTGGGCTTTGCCATCTTGTGTTTTTTTTCTTTCTGGAAGCTAAGGTACTAAATGAAGATGAAAACTTGGAGCAGTTATACCTAAAGCTGCTACATTTACTGTCTTCCGAAAGATGTTAACAAACATGCATGGACAGTTTGTAATTTGCCTCCTTGAGGGTCACAAATGCCCACTTGGACCCAAGGCTAAAAATGTTTGACATCTTATCAAGTTAATTATATTTACAAGTTCAGCAACACCTAGAGGGAATTCAAACCTGGGTGAGTATTATTATTCTGTTAAACTGTTCAGATCACCTCTCTAATGAGTGATTATCTTTCTACCCCTCACGTACCTCACAGTCCTATCCATGGTTAGGCTGTTTTTCTTTGTGAACACTGATAAATGTAAACTGTAACTTGACTAGACAAGGAGGCAACAATTATGGTTTTAAACTGACTTTTTACATGACTAAATGCTTCAAAAGTTAAAAGTGGCAAAGTGGCACATTTTAATCCCGTAATGACATTTTCAAAGGGCAACCTTTCTCTGAATTTATTTTTTTTCCCAAGGAGGATGCAAATGTTCTTTCTGTTAAATACATGTCTTTGATTGCTACTTCTGTCCTGTCTCTCCCTCTTTGGAGACTGAGCCTTGAAAGCCTTGAATTTGTGGGAGTCTGAATAGGATACATGTGGGGAGATGGGAGAAAATAAAAAGAAGTGCATAAAGGCAAGAACAAAAATTGCTCTGAAGAATTGGTAATAGAAGAAGGGGAAATGGCTGTCTTCTTTCCACCAGAGGACTCTTTACAGAGCAAAAGATTGATGAGGAGGCATTACAGGGAAAAGCTTCTTTTTAGGCAGTTTTTGCTGTCAGAATAAATGTGCACTCTTCAACCTTTTGTCATGGGGGCAGTAAATCTGTTGGACGTCACACTTTCTTTTCCCACTGATAAGGTCAACTAAATCAATATTTCTTCAGCACCAATACCACAAGAGAAAAGACTGAGGTGAATGGGTGTGTGATGAAGGTGATTCTTACACTTTAACAAACTGCTTCACCTGTGCAGGTGTCAGGGATATATTAAAGCCAGGATGAAGTCAGAGGAGAAGAGGAGGACTCGCTTCCACAGCGGACACGGTACAGAATGAAATGGTTTTTAATTGTGTTTATTTAGCTACTTATCAATTGCAGGATTTTTTTTTACTCTGGTATTTATGCAATAATCATGTAGTGCAACGGATCTGGTATGGACATAAGTAATGAAATAGTCACCGTTTGCCTGTGGGTTGCAAGTATGGAGGTTTTGTGATATGGTTTATTTGATAGGGACTGATACAATATACATAGACAAACTGAAAACAGCAATCTAATGCATGAATCATAGTGTTTATAGTGGGTGCTAATATGCTACACTTGTCCCTTTTATGTTAAAAAAGGATTTGTGTCATTACTTCTTCCTGCAAAAAAATAGATTTTTTTGTTAGCTACATACACTTACATGGTAGATGGATTGGATTGGAGGTTTATTATAGTCGACTATCTGGAAGGAGCAGGAAAAGGTTTACATTTAGGGGAAAAAAATTAAAATCAACAAATTTTTAACTAATGTGAACAAAATTCTGACCAAAGCTAAAAAGGCATGTAGAGTTCCTTCAGACAGAAAATCAAAGTATTTAACATGATTTGGTTTTCATTATGCTACATTATAATATCAAAAGCAAAATAGGCAGTCAGCAGGTAACGTTTCACATTTTCATTTTTTATTGGACCAATGACAGTCTCCAAAACATGGTTTAGTTTGAGGTATAGTTTCATTCATCTCATGTTGAAGGTATAATTAAAAAACATAACCGTTATGATTTGTCTTACCTCGAGCTGCAGGTGAGCAGTTATGAGGTAGGCCATTTGTCAGAATTACACCGATTGGCTATTTCTGTGCTAAATCTCGATGAGTCTCTTCCAGCCTTCCAACTCTTTCCCTGTTTTATACGGCCTTGGATATATTGTAACAAACTGATAACAACAGATACTACACTTGATCTTAGCCAAAAGGCAGAAAAAGGTATCGGCTGTACTATTTTAAGGATCACATAAGTGTCCCAGGTATGGTGCTGCAATTACAGATTAAAAAAAAATCACAGTTATTGACCCCCACTACACAGGCAGGGTATCTTTCTTAGGGAACTAAAGGGTGTCCTGTAATTTCCTAAAACATATCAGTGAGAGCTCTAGTGGGATTTGATCTGAGGCCTGCAGACGCACAAGTGAGCCTCCTGAGACTAATCTCACCATCCTGTTGCGTGATTTGGGCATTTGAGAATGATCCAGAAGGGAACATGAAGGGCTACAGGTAGAAGAAAAAAAAATAACATGCAGGCAGTACCTTAACACACACACTTTGTGTGTGCCCTACTATTGTTTCAGTGGCTGTCTTTATGCTGTCTTCTGTGGCTTTTTCCTCAAGTGTTAAGAAAGTTGGATAGAGTTTTGCCGCAGAATTGTTTGGTCTATTATTTTATTTTAATTTTGCACATCAGAATTGTGACCTACAGCACACGACAAATGCTGATTAAAGCCTTGCTGATAAAGTTGCGCATTTGTAAGCCTTTCCTTACATATTATAAAGTTTATTTGAAGTTTAATCCACGCCTGCAGTCTTTTCTTGTTTATTATTTGCTATGGAGGCAACGTGCAAGCAGGGGATGCCAGCAGGCTCAACAAACAGGTAGAAATGGTTTGTACTATTACAGCGCTGAGCGTAGACACCCTGGAGACAGAGGTAGAGTGTAAGACTCCAAACTGGAATCTTTTCTCAGACGAAGCCTTCAACCCTCTGCAACATGAGCTGACACAGCTATAAAGTACATTAAGTCCCCAGCTCATCTGCTCGAGGTGTACCAGGGGGTTCTTCAACTTATCATTTGTGCCAGTCATCGTGCACAGCGCTCACTGCTGAAACGTCCCTATAGCCTCAGCCAGCTGAATACTGTCTGCCTGCTATGTCTTTTTGCACGCTGCTCTGGGCCATTTTTTATTTTATTTTTTTTTATCCTTTTTTTTCTACATCTCTTGAAAAAAAAAAAACAGAAAATCTTTACAGTGTAATGGAAGCTCAATGCATTAATTATGGCCTCATGCTGTTAAGGCAAGAATCAACCCCTCTAGCACTATCTTTAAAAAAAAAAACTGGAACACTATATGCTCCGATATAACAGAGTTTACTGCAGGGCTGTAGTCCAAAGATAACATAACACTTTATGTAAGGAAAATGTTCAAATCAAAGTTTAATTCTGCACTTGCATTTACAATTAAGAAAATGACAACAATGTGGTTCATAAAAAAACAAGACAATGACTTCGCCTGTTATGCATGTTGTAAAGTTGTAAAGAGATAAAAGCTTATTTGATTCAAAATAAGCCGAGTTTTAGAGGAGCATTTCAAGGACTCAGATGAAGGAGACTGTTGTTCAAAGCTGCAACTCAAATATACGTTAGGTTTTTGGCAACACTCTTATATTGTGTTGCACTGGTTCTCTTTTAATGCCATCTCTAGTAAAAGGAATGGGAACTCTGATAGGATATTATGCATGTGATATTCAATTTTTTTTACATTAATATTCATTTTTCTATCTTAGAACTCTAAAAAAACACCATATTTTCATTGATATTATACTGTTAGTGTAGCCAACAGAAATACGAAAAGCGTCTTTGAAGTTTTACAGTGTCACTGGACATTTCTATAGATATCTGTGTCTTTATCTGTCTTCACCCTGTTACTTCTATCATGTCCTTACATATTGTATTGCTGCAGTGCAACCGTGTGGGCATTTCAAAGTTTCATGCTCCAAATATTGTAAGATCATACTGTATACTAACTGTTGTTGTTTTTCTTCTCTTTCAGTCCCGTTCTCTGGGATAAAGACGTATGTGGATCCAGACACTTATGAAGACCCCACTCAGGCTGTGGAGGAATTTGCCAAAGAGATAGAGCCCTCATACATTTGCATTGAGAGGGTGATTGGTGCAGGTAAAATAGAAACATGCATGTGGACACTAGATGTATAGACATGTATTTACTTCTGTTGTTTGCTGCACATGTTTTTTTTCCTGTTTTTACAAAAGGAGAAACATCGGTGTTACTTGTGTGCAAGCCGAGTAAGCAGAAGTTTTTACAATGCATGACTAGCAGGCAGACAAGATTTTCAAAGCACAATCTAGGTATTATTCTCTGTATTAATAGCTGGGATTACACAGGGATATTGAAGTGTCCTAGTGACGGATGTCTAGCACTTGTTACGGGGAAGTGAGCACATTTTATGTTGAGTAACATTTTTTATTTTATGAGAAATGTTAAACCTCATAAAGTGCAGATTTTAAACGTTTATAGCATCTCTTAGCAAGCTGATTTAAAAGTAATTTATTGTATTGTGCCTCAAAGGGACAAAGTCAGTGCTGACACCAGTGAATAATTGTGTTTGATGGTTCATTAAATTGAACAGCTTGTGTCTGCTATTTAAACCGTCGAGGAATTATGAAGGTGCCTCTCAGATATCTACTACCTGTATCGTCGACTCCACCCTGTGGAGACTGTTTGTGTTGCAGGGGCAAGGCAGCAAGCCATGTAACACCACTGTGCCCATAGTTATCTGTTGTTTGATTTGATTTAACAAATGTCAAACACACCTTATATTCTTTATGAATTAGCACTTCCTCAAGAACAGGGAGCATTATGATACAGTAGATATAAACTACTTGGGATAAGTCGCTAGAAATATATAAAAGATAAGGTTTTTTTTGTTGTTTTTTTTTTTTACACAGGTGAATTTGGAGAAGTGTGTAGTGGTCGGTTGCGTATACCAGGAAGGATGGATATCGCTGTGGCAATAAAGACACTTAAAGGTGGCTACATGGACCAGCAGAGGAGAGACTTCTTGCGTGAGGCTTCAATCATGGGACAGTTTAACAACCCCAACATCATCAGGCTGGAGGGAGTGGTCACAAAAAGTAAGCTCTAAACATGTCTTTGTCTTTATGTGTTTGTTTATAGACTCTTTTTTTTTTCCATTTAAAACATGCACTTAATCATTTCCTCAGGCAGACCGGTCATGATAGTGGTTGAGTACATGGAGAATGGAGCGCTGGATTCTTTCCTCCGGGTAAGACATGTGCATGTTCCCATTACTACACCTGTATTCTTCTGTGATTCGTTTCTCTCATCTATCCTATATGTCTTCCCTCTTTGACATGCAGACACGTGATGGTCAGTTCACAGTCCTTCAGCTGGTCGGCATGCTGCGCGGCATTGCAGTGGGCATGACCTACCTCTCAGAGATGGGATACATTCACAGAGACTTAGCTGCTCGCAACATCTTGGTAGACGAGAACCTGGTTTGTAAGGTGTCTGATTTTGGCATGTCCAGGATCCTTGAAGATGACAGTGAAGCAGCCTACACTGCTACCGTGAGTTTAGATCTGACTGTCACTGCAGGATCACAGAGTTATTGAAGTCACAAATGTTGAATATCGCTAATCCTCTTCTATGTTACTGTTTTGTGTCAGGGAGGAAAGATACCTATACGCTGGACAGCACCAGAGGCCATCGCTTATGGCAAATTCTCTTCATCTAGTGATGTTTGGAGCTATGGTATTGTCATGTGGGAAGTGATGTCATATGGGGAGAGGCCCTACTGGGAGATGTCCAATCAAGATGTAAGCCGCTGATCACATTAAACTCTTTAACACTAAAGCATGCTCAGCATAGACGCATTAAATGTTTTTGTTATTTGTTTTTAACCTGCTGATGTCCATCTCAGGTGATTTTATCCATTGAAGAAGGCTACCGTCTTCCTGCACCCATGGGCTGCCCTGTCACCCTGCACCAGCTGATGTTGCACTGCTGGCAGAAAGAGTTTGGCCAGCGTCCACACTTCAACAACGTGCTCTCTTTCCTGGATAAACTCATCATCAATCCCAGCAACCTGCTCACTCTGGTCAATGATATGCAGAGGTAAAGTATCACTGGAAAAGGATCCAACTGGTTGTTTTTGTGGTTGACTGAAAACTTTACAATACTACAGGACCTGGGTTCAGATCCCGGACGAGCCCCCAATTTGACATGACCGGCTCAAAGGCCATACCAAATAAATGGAGAGATTTCAAAATAACTCCTAATTATGCTGATTTATTTACAAAAATTAAATTGCAAAAGGGATGAGGTTTGGGTGTCAGTAGAATCAGAAGTTTAATTGAGTGGGTGTGTGAAAAGTCTATTGTGCATGTGTTGGATGGAAAAGGAAGATGAAGTAACAAGTCACATGCAGAAAGTCTCCCTCGGCGGCAGCTTTATAATGACTGTGCTCATTGGGCCCAATTGATCTCAGTCTGGCTGATTGGACGGCCACACCTTCCAATTACATGTACCTGCAACACAAAAGAGATTTTTATTTCCTACTCAACTGGCAGCTATTGCTTTTAGTGTCTGTAGTGTGTGATGAGGCAAGGCAGGTTTATCTACACAGCAGACACAGACACAAGTAAATTCAAAGTTTATAGAAGCACAAAAGGACATTAAGTGTTAGACAGTAGGGACACTTACATTTCAATGCTCTGTACTATACCAGGGGATGATAATAATAGTCAATTAAGCTGAATTAATTAGCTCTGCAGGTGTCTGCATCCTCATTTTCATACCAAACTAGAAAAATTAAATCATTTTTCTTTGCAGTTTTTTTCAAATATTTTCTATTCAACTCAGCATTATGCCAACCTTATCCCTAACTTTCTGTTTTCACAGTTTCCCCGACTCCCCAGAAGACTTGCCAGACTATCCTCTCTTCATCTCTATCGGCGACTGGCTTGACTCCATCAAAATGAGTCAGTATAAGAACAACTTCCTTGCAGCAGGATACACAACCCTGGATTCCATTTCAACCATGAGCATAGAGTGAGTGAATCCAAATTAAACTGAGTGCAGCTACAGCTTCAAACAGCAAAATAAAAGGACACAAAGTAGCATCAAAGGATGAGAAAAAATTGCCAAATTGTATTTAAATTGATACCTCTATAAAGCTTTGTCAAGAAACATGAGCACAGTTTGTGTTTATCATGTACTGTAGCAGTCTTTTTTAGATATGATGGTGCACTATTTTTCATTTGAAATATTTATCTTTTTTTTTTTTCCTGTCAGCGACATCCGCCGTATCGGGATCTGTTTGATCGGTCACCAGAGGAGAATCATAAGCAGCATACAGTCGCTCCGCCTGCAGCTTCACCACATTCAACAGAGTGGCTTTCAAGTGTGAGAGCACGGCACAAAGACAGACTGTGAGCACACAATGACCAGGAAACAAACCAGAGTTTCTTGGCATCAACATTCAACTAATTGCACAAACACCAGACTGTTAGGTGTAGCAGGAAACCCACAGGCTGCTCGTGTGAGAGTGGTCAGCCCGCGAGGCCACATGTGGTCTGGCTCATATGCACTCATCTCAATCATCTTATGGATCATTATCATCAATACAGCCTCCACAACAACCAACCTCTGTCAGCGTTGGCCGAATGCGGTCTCTTTATTATCTCAGCAAATACTAGCATTCACTTGAATTTAGGACTTCTTTTCTCTAGTGTCTGTTCAAGTGTTCACCAATACCTCTTCTCTTTCCAAGTGACAATCCAACAGTTTTTGACTTTGAATGGTCTCAAGTCTGTTACCTCAAGGCCAGAGAAGATGTGGATATGATATAGAAGGTATGGTATTAAGAAAACAATGTTCCAGTAATAAAGATTGACAGAATGGTATATACAATCATGTTTTTTGGACTGAAGACCGCTGAATGTCAAAAGATTTTATAGAAATGTACATTCTATCCTCATGATAATGCAGTATGTCTTGTACAAAAAGTCTTGTGAAAGTTGTATGTTTTATTCAGTATGTTTGTTCCTTAATAAACAACCCTATTTTAATACTTTGTTTTCACTCAGACTTTAAACCACCGCCCCAAAGACATCATCGTTCTCTCTTCAAAGCGAACTGTTAATTCCACATTGCACATGCACATTAACACACAAGCAAACACTCAATCAATCAATCAATTTTTATTTGTATAGCGTCAACTCATAACAAGTGTTATCTCGAGACACTTTACAAAAAGCAGGTAAAATACCTTACTCTTTGTCTGTTAACATTACAAAAGAGCAGGTAAAAAGACCTTACTCATTGTTATGTTACAAAAAGCAGGTAAAAGACCTTACTTATTGCTATATTACAAAAAGCAGGTAAAAGACCTTACTTATTGCTATATTACAAAGACCCGGCCTATCCATCATGAGCACTTTAGCAAAGCAGCAAAAGTTACAGTGGTAAGAAAAAACTGCCTTATTAAAAAGGCAGAAATCTTCGGCCGGATCCCCGGCTCATGACGAAACAGCCTTCACAGGCCTAGACTGCGCCGGGCTTGGAAAGGGATAGGGGGAGAGATGGGATGACAAGGTTTCCATGGTTGCATCTCGTGTTCTCTCTCAAACACACACATGCTCAAGAACAATGCGCTCTTAATTGTCACTCAAGAGACTAACACGTTTTCTGGACATGAAGAATTGTCAGGTGAGTTTGTCAATCAGGTGCTCAAGGAAGGTTGCAGATGAAAAAAAGCGAAAAGACAATGACAAAATACAGCTTACACACATTTTTTTTTTATGTAAACAAGAGGTCTCACATTGTATGCCAACAGGTCTTTCAGGTTTTTCATTTCAATTTAACACATTTACTATTGACTTTCATTGTCATTAGAGCTTTATTTTACAAAAAAAGTTTGCATTTTTCATGGGCAGATAAGTTATACATTTTTAATACTGCACACTACAATAATTGATGTGAGACTCAACTGTGCTGCACGTCAACTATAACACGTTTATGGTTAATGAAACACTACAGCCACATTGTCCTTCTAAGGCTGCAGTGTCCTTGTATGGCCTGCAGGTGTCAGTCTTGAGCCGAAACGCTGGTCTCCCAGCAACACCGTGTAAATAACAAGCTGCTCCTCTGTAGTGTTGGCTAGTGAGCATGAGAGAGAGGAGGAGAAATGAATGAAACATTAGTTTGACTCTGGGGTTTTTTTTTTGAGCTAGCTTATCAAAGAGTTGAGGGTAAGAAAGATCCCACGGCTATTTACAGGTAAGGCCCACCTCTACCGAAACTGTCTGTGTTAATACAAGAGGGACGATAACTAGCTGTAACGTCGGAAGCTAACGTGGTAGCTTCAAATATCGCGTTAAAACGTCAAGCTAAGCAATGTGGCTTTTGACTTGTAGTCCCATATCTATCGCTGCTTTGAAATATAAATGCAAAAGGAAGTGAATACGAGAGAGAGAGTGCATATACACTTAGCAACTTGACGTAATTAGTAGCTAAAGGTTAGCCCAGGTTAGCAGGCTAACAACAAGAGATTAACTATATAGCTGTACGCGAGTGTTAATTACTCGAGAACCCACTAAGAGCCCACTAAGCATGTTACCTTGAGCTACATTTAGCAAATAAAAGTCGACATAATGCCATTTGTGTAGAGCTGCGACGAGCTTTGTGAAGATAATAAACACAATCGTCCCCTCTGACGTGTTGTGCTTGGGGTGTAAGGTGAAAAGTAGGGATGGGTGGGTGATGATTAAAGTCAGATAATGTGAATTACAAGAGAACTAGTGGAGCCTCAGCCAAGTCTGGTGCCTTTTTCACGAGAGGAGGGAAGTCAGTTCACTGAAGCGAGTAACCATTATATCGTGGAAGTAGCTAAATCATCAGTTGTGTGGAAGAAAGACTTGGTTTGTCTCATGAGAATAGAGTTTAAAAAGCTTAGTTAGAAGAAGTTAATGTCAGGGATGGAGCCGTGTTGGGTGCATGTTCTCTGTTGATCTCACGTAGAAGTCATATCAGACTGATTTTTGAACCCAGAGGAAGTGCAAAACCCATGCTTGGTAGAGTTTATGACCTGTCCAACAACTGAGAAAGCCTTCGAGAGATGCTGTCATCTAACCATGCATGTCTGTTTTCTTGTAGGTCAGACTGGCTGCTGATGGTTGTTGGCAATCAAATGGGGCTTTTTGACAAGTTGGCAGGATGGCTGGGGTTGAAGAAAGGGGTGAATGTGCTGTGTCTTGGTCTGGACAACAGTGGAAAAACTACAATTATCAACCAACTCAAGCCCTCTAATGTAAGTCTATTAAAGTCTCTCTACAGAGTTGCTGTGACTGATCGAAGTCAGATAGCGTTATTTAGTCATAGCTTAGTCATAACCAATGTCAAACATGTTGATTTATTTGCAAAGGTAGTCACAATATTAATGACTCGACTTTTTCATTTCTTTATCATTTTCAACATATTGTATTTGTTTTACAGGCCCAGGCACAAGACATCGTTCCAACTATTGGCTTCAGCATAGAGAAGTTCAAGACTTCCAGGTAGTTGTTCATTATAAAACAACAAGTTTATGGGCATTTTATAACACTTGTGAAACATTTTTTTTAAGAGTATGAGTGTAATTTTAAAGCAGGTTTGATAAACTATGCTGTGTTTTTCTCCTACTCAGTATACTCTGGATGAGAGCATTAAAGACTTTACTTTTCTTGTAGTCTTTCCTTCACAGTGTTTGACATGTCTGGTCAAGGCAGATACAGAAACCTTTGGGAACACTACTACAAGTGAGTGCACCATTTCCATTAAAACACACGTCATATTTGCCACAATATACATGATCATTTCTGCAATCTTTTTATGTTTCTCAGGGAAGGCCAGGCAATCATATTTGTCATTGACAGTGCTGACAAACTGAGGATGGTGGTGGCCAAAGAAGAACTGGACACATTACTAAACCATCCTGGTATGTACAAATACATTAAACATTAAACATGAGTCTTGATTTAAGTTTGAATTTCTTCCCCATTTACTGTTTTGCTGCTGTATCTCTTTCTGACTGAAGTATTTCTTTTTTGCAATAGACTAATTTCATTTTTATTTTTCAGATATATCTGTGCTCTGATGATTGTCTCTCATCAGTGGATACGATGGGTATTACTGATTTATCAAACTCAATTACTGAACTCATCCATCTCCCTCTCTCTACAGATATTAAACACAGGAGGATTCCCATCCTGTTCTTTGCCAACAAGATGGATGTCAGGGATGCTTTGTCTTCAGTCAAAGTCTCACAGCTGCTCTGCTTGGACAACATCAAAGACAAACCCTGGCACATCTGGTATGAACGAAAACTGCACTTGCTTGCTTTAAGTAGCTACAGTATGAGGAAGTTAAATGTATAATGTGAGGGTATTGGCTGACAATTTGTGGACATTGTAAGTCTTAACTCTTGTTGATCTTATTCTGTAACTGCGTGCATAGTATTCTGACAAGGTCAAAACACTCCAGCAACACTTGTAGTATGAAGACCATTTTTATTAACTTTATTAGACCGGCGTGTTTCATCAGGGTCATGGCCTGAACCACGTAGAGAAGCTATGGAGTATTGTCAAGAGGAAAATGAGAGACCAATACAAAGGAGCTAAAGGCTGCTATCAAGGATCAGAAGTACAGTGTTAAGTGTTCACGGTCAGTGATTTGGGGTGCCATGTTATCTGCTGGTGTTGACCCACTGTGTTTTATCCAGTTCAGAGTCAACGTAGCGGTCCACCAGGAGATTTTAGAGCACTTCATACATCTGTCCACTGACAAGCTTTATGGAGATGCTGATTAACTTTTGAAGTTTTGTCACCTGCCCACAATCCCAAAACTACCAGTAACTGGTTTTCTGACCATGGTATCACTGTACTTGATTGGCCAGCCAAGTCACCTGACCTGAACCCCACAAAGGATCTATGGAGTGTTGTCAAGAAGAAGAGAGAGACACTAGACCAAACAATATAGATTGTCACTGATCAGTTATTAGTGCAAAAGGACCCCACTAAATATTAATTGCCTAAATGGACATGCTTTCAGAAAACTTGACAATTCAGTATTATCATTTTTCTTTTTCTTGGTCTTGTGTAATATTTTAACAATTTGAGGTCCTTGATTTTTTATTTTCTTGAGCTGTACTCATCAAGATTAAAACAAAACAAGGCCTGAAACATTTCACTTCATGTCAAATGAATCTAGAAAATATGAAAGTTTCACTTTTTGAATTAAATAACAAAATAAATGAACTTTTTCATAATATTCAAATTGTATAAGCTGCACATGTATATATGGCAGGATGTGACAAAGCTCACTCATAAAGTTGTACTAACACTTTACAATAAGGATACATTCATTAACATTAGTTAAGGCTTAATAATGCCTTAACTAATGTTAATGAATGGTTACTAACAGTTAACTAATGTTTCTAGTAATCATTTGGTATTAATTAATACATTATTTAATCCTTATTAAGGACGCTATTGTATTAATTAATACTGTAGTTAACATGAACACCCTTAATAAATGATTACTAGACACATTTATTAACTGTTAGTAACCATTAGTTAAGGCCTAATAATGCCTTGACTAATGTTAATTCATGTACCCTTATTGTAAAGTGTTACCCCTTTTAAATAATCTGTGCTAATATGTTTCAGCGCCACAGACGCCCTGAAAGGAGAAGGTTTACAGGAAGGAGTCGACTGGTTACAAGGTATGAGATGAGAATGAATATGCATTAAATTGAGAGTGTGAGTGTAATTTTGTGTTCAGTTAACAATGCAGTCTTTGTTCACCCCCCCCACCCCACCCCCCATCATCATCATCTTGTTTTCTTTTTGTTATGTTCATTCACATCCTTCCATAGAACAAATTATGCAGTGAGTACTGGGTGTTTTGTGAGTGCTATTTATTGTGTTTCTGTGTTGTAGTAGAGGACTGTCAAGAATGTCTCTGTGCTAGATAAACACTGTGAAGCTATTAAGAAGCTCAGGCTTTCAGATACACAAACAGTCTGTGATCAGAAACAGTCCTTCCCTAGAAACTCTTTGTTGCTTTAGCTTCCCTGTTAGCTATTTGGCTTCCCAATGCATCTCATTTAAATCGAAGATGCCTCAAGAAAGCTGTTACTGATTTCTGATATGAAGTTCTTAAAGGTATACTTTACCTAAAGTCTGTACCTTTAATATCAGAAGCTCAAATTTAAAGGATTAAAGATGGCTGTGTTGTCAAGAACCTTAGTAGTGGTTAGGCTGAAATTTACAGCATTTAGATTGTAGATCACTTCCCAACCTGTTCCTGCATCTTTATCCAGTACCAACTGCTCAATTATTTCTTTCCACAATGGTTAACTGCATTCCTTGTGTTTTTTCCAGATCAAATAAAGACGATGAGAACGTGAGGGCATGAGGTCGAACACATCAGAAGAAGAAGACAGATCCTCTAGAGGGTTTTATGAAAGTCAACTGGACCCTGTTTCCAGAGGTACCATAGGGAAAGTCATGTTTTTAATGCAGTGTCTGGGTGGTTCTTGGATAAGGGTGGTTCACCCAAATATGAGGGTGTAATTCCATTCTCTGGTACCAGTTTTGCCAATACAATCCATCAAACGATAGTGCTAAGTCAATAAGAAACCAATTAGAAACAAATCTGTACTTTTCAATAAAAGCATTATGAGTTAACCTGATGAACACAGCTCTCCCAACGCAGTCAAATGTGTAGATCATGATTTTATCCATTTATATTATTACTCCCAGTTCTCAATATCTATGTGCAACAGGTGCTGACTTTATTTTTAAGGGAGCATAAAATACATTTTGTTGGGCGGTGTGATACTCTGCATGCTTTAGCCCTCAGACAATCTGTGTGTCAGCTTCTCTGAAGAGACAGCATGTAAACTCAAGGTCTTTTCCCCTTCATCTTCAGCTTACAAATATAAACATTAAATATGTTTTAAGCCTTTTGTGCTAGGATCATTATTCATCTCTTAAAAGCGTTGATCTTCAATTGTATGGCAACACCACATCAATTCGCATGAATACATCTATTAACATTTGCTGCCAAAGTCTCTGCCTCTCCCAAGCCTTTTAGCATCAGACAGCTTTCTTTTAAAAACATTTTGGAAATAATGTCAAGTAGACAGAATCTGAATGTAATGGGGTAATACAAACAAAACGACCTGCAAGATATGTCCTTTTAAAGCCATGTCAAACTCGTGCCAGACAACTCAACTTTTTCCCTCTTTTTTGGATGTCTTTTTTTAGTGTGTTAACATAAATTATTAGAGGTTTGAAGCAACACAGCAAGTTTGTTTAGAAAAAACTTGACTCTGCTCCAGTCAAAGACGGCCGTATGAGGTCAACAATTACCAACAAACTGACCCAATAAAATAACATAACACAATTTTTAAAAGGTCAAAACCAAGGGATTCATTTTAAGGCGCACACATACAGAACTATGTCACAGGGTTAGGGTTAGTCATCAATTAAGACTGAATTAACAAAACACACAAACATAACAGAGGAACAAATTCCCTGTCTGAAAGGCTTGAAATAGTAGTCACAAGCTCACATGCTTCTGATTGACAAACCAGTGGATCATCCTGGGAAGAGATGAGAAAACACAACAGAAAGGGGAAACTTACAACCATAACACATTCCACACATTTACATCTAAAGTGAAGCTAAGTTATAGAATCATTTTACCGTGACATTAGAAAAAATCCCTTTATTTTCCCTCCTGCTCATACTTTATGTTGCTGTATTCCTGTTGTGTAGATGTCACTTTCTTTTGAGTGGCTGTGAATATTTAACAACAGATGATATTTTCTCCCTGAACCCACTATGTTTATTTTTGTAGATTTTGGAACTGGTGGCTAAGTGCACATGGCTAGCTTACTTTAAAATCAAAACTTCTCTTTACTAAACTTCATTTCAACTAGTGTTCTTATTTTTGCCTTATTTCATTTCTCAAAGAAAAAAAAAGAACTGTCATCAAAGTTAATGCTTCTTAGATTTCAGTCATGCTACTTCAGTGATTCAATGACACAATAGAAAGAAAAAAAAAAAACATCTACTCAGACTGCACGACCCTTTGATCCTCTTCTCCATTCACTGACTAAAAGCTTGCATTAAAAACCACTGCTGTGTAGATCAGAGTGTGTGGGCACGTTTGAGTGTTGTCGAGCAACAGTTTTTGTCAAGTTTCATATAAAACAAGCTTCGTAGGACAGAAAACATATTTCTGCTGTTTTTGACGTGTGTCATGAAGAACGACTGACAAACTCGCACAATCAGATTTTTTTATATCATATACGCTATGGAATCTATGTAGTATATTTACCATCTGTAAAATGATCTGTTAACTAAAAAAATCAACTATACCAGAAGAAAATAAAGTCTTTTAGTTCTCTAAAAAACTTATCAGTCTAGGTTTACTCATCTGTCCTAACACATGTAGTCCTGCTCACTTTCATCATTGGAAAACACAGCAGATATACTTTAGGATGTTTGACTGACATTAGGGCCACAGTTTCTCTTTGACACAGGTTTTGTTCGTCATCGAAAATAATAACTGTTGAATTGTGCAAATGAACTGGACAAAGATCATGTGAGCGTTTGTGAATTTAGTTTAAGTCATGATTGAATGAAAAACCAAATCTTGTGTTTTCTGGCCATTTCAGCAGATACAATCCAGAAAAAACTTCACAGATCTATAAGAAAAAATATTTCATATATTTAAGTACTTAATCATTTTTTATATAGATGCAAGTTAAAAGTTCTGCTTTTTGTCGCTGTCGGGCAGTTTTCCAGTTACAACTCTTAAAACTGTGTGTCATTGTACTATTATGGCTTGGCGAGGAGACATTTCCAGTGAGAGGTGGTACAGGAGTTTTTTTTTTTTTTGCCGACTCATACCAGTGTCCTCATGGACATTGTCATTTTTGTACTTACACTGAGGGAAGCCCTGGTCCAAAAGATTCTCATCCTACCCATAGTGGCTCTAAGGACACTACATTGATTTATGATATTTAGTCTGTTACTTACTGTAGGAATTTCTGAAGTGATTTAGTGGGAGAAGTTTCAACTCTGTTACCCTCCAGACATCTAACGTCATATTTTCAAACAAAGAGGTCATTGTGAGATTAGGTTTTTATATCCCCTAGTCAACAAGGATCCTCTGAGCACAGGTTCACTTTAGTATCAGAGTGGTTGTAGGTTATTTTGTCAAGCTGTACTTAATGAGCTGTATATCATTTGTTGAATACATTGTATGTGTTACATTTCAAAGAATAAAAAGTAAAGGCCCACTGGGGCTTTTATATAATATCTGTAAACTATCGTCTCTCTTTCTGCGTGTGCGTGTGCGTGTGAGTGTGCGTGTGCGTGTGCGTGTGTGTGTGTGTGTCTCGCTCTCTCACAAACATCTTGAGCACTGCCAGCGACAGCTGCTCATTAAACCTCGAGTCCTTGGGCTCTGAATATAAACATTCATTTCTACAAGTTATGAGGACTCATATTTCAACACTTTGCAACTGGCTGTTTATTTTTCTTAACTGAGTGTGGTTATTCTGTTTACTTATGTGATCTATGACATTTTGGAGCAACATGTGTGTGTGGGTTTAATCATCAAGACACAAACACATACAGGCACACATTCAGTTTGTGTGGTTTGAAAAAGTGTTTGGGTTGTGTTACAGCCATCTGTCAAACACGCAGTTAGAAACCTTTCCAGCTGTCTTTCCGGATGTTTTACATTTTGGCTTCAGTATTACACAGAATCACTTGTCAGATGTCAAACAAAATCTGATTCAAATCAACCCTGTTCTAATTACTACTCATATGAATTTTATTTCTTTATAGTAAAATGTTTGGTTAGTTGATTTTTTTTAATTTGACACCCTAAGGGCACAGAAAAGATAACAGTTTATCCTTTATCCTGAATTAGATGCAAAGTATTTCTCATTTTACAAGCCACATCATCAGAAGAAAATAAATGCTCCTTACAGAGACAAACAATTTACAGTACAACCCCTCAGTTAGTGGGGAGTGATATTTGTTAAATAAAAAAAAATAGATTTTCCCTCCAGGCAAAAAAATAAGAAATACATTTCAAAAGGAAAGAGCCAGCAGGGGAATCTATGACTACAAAGACATCAAAACATTAATGTAATAAAACATATTATTAAAAATGTACCTTAAGAAAAACATCACACATTATGGTGAAGTCCTTTCCACTTAAAAAAAAAAAAAAAAAAAAAAGTCTGCAGAAATATATACGTGATGATCATTTGGCCTCTGTCCATGGTGCTGATTAGGCTCTACGGCCAGTAGGGGGCGCCGTGCGCGTCAAATGGTTAAAATAAGATTGTTACCTTCTCCCGTGGCGAGCCGTCTACTGCAAATAAGCCCTCCCTCACACTGGATGAGCGTGTTTGTCTCAATACCGATAATGTGTGTGTGTTTGTGTGTGTGCGCACCGGGCTTTATTTTCAAAGTCAGACTGTATCATTAAATCTCTCCGCTGCTCCTCTGGATCCATCCTAATTGGATGCCTGTCAGATTTGACAAGAGGAGCCTAGATTAAACGACTTCAGGCAGTGGAGGCCATTAAGTAGACACAGTTCATTGATATGTACCGTGAAGGGAAAGTGACAGACACAGTACACCTAAATGATTTCTAATTGCTCAGAGGTGTGCAGTTTATTGCTCTAAGAAAGCTTCCATATTGAGCCCAAAAGAAGAAAAAGTGGATCGTTTTTGTTCACCCAGTGCTGAAAATAGGTGAGTGAGGTCAGTTATGTTTTCAGAAAGGTTTCACTCCGCAGAGCACAGAGGGCATCCACAGACGCGCAAAAAATGGTGCTGGTGAGCAAAGTTAATTGCGGTTGTAAGGTAAAATGCCGGCAGGCGGGAGAGTGACAGCGGATAAAAGGCCACAAGAAGTATACGGCTGCGCAATTAGGCGCCTGTTACGCACACAGTTTGCAGGAGCAAGTGCCACGTGAAGCTCAAAATTCTCCCAACAAATGATCGATGATTTAGCGTGTAAATATTCAAGATTACAATTCGTGTCGTTATTTTTCTAAGTAAGGTCCTTCTCTGTTATTGAGCAGAGGAATTTCTTCCCCTGTCCTCCAGTCAGACGAGCCAGTACACTGTGACGTGTTTTCATGCAAGCAGCTCATTAAGAGAGACGTTTGGTTTCTCTGACGTGTGTTATCAGTCCTCTGACGGCACCTGCCCCCTTATAAGCCTCAGTAAGTCACCCGGGAGACCTCCACCAACGTTTCACTTCACTGTTCCTCGCGCTGCAAAAAGGGAGGACTGGGGCTTTTAATAAATCCGTCAAACTGTTCTGCTCACAGTTTCCTGCCTCAGGTGCCCCAGCACATGACTCTAAAAGTACTTGAGGTAAGTGTTGCATGTTTTTCAAGCTTTAGCAAAGAATCTAGTGGACTTTTATCAATTGTCATTTCAGAGGAGGATATCTTGTCATTTTTGAAGTGAGGTTATTTTGTAAGAGTTGACTATTCACAATATCATTTTAATAAGGCTGTCTCCAACTAAGGGTTGTTAAACTTCAAAATCATGGATGTTGTGCGTAATTAGATTTTTACGCGCGTGTATCCGGATTGAAGGACAAGAAGAGAGATAGAGGAGACACAAAAAGTAGGATGAAAAACGAACAAAATGTATGAAAAGACAATAACATGTTACTTTTTTTTTTTAATTCGTGCACATTTCTGTTGTAATGTAGAGAATTATTTTTCATTTGTGCCCCCAGAATATGTTTGGCAGCAGCTACATGCCTGAAATAATATGGGAACAATAAATCAAAACATTATCGAGCTTCCAGGTTACTTTTAAATAATGTATTTTTTTAAAACTAAACTGATATCTTCATGATCTAAAGTGGAGATCACAGATTTGAAAGTCATGTGTAGGAAAGACAGCTTCCAGAGCCTCAGGAGCGCATGAATACTAAATTCGCAGAGAAAAGTCTTTCTTCTGGACAATTATCGTTTTATCTGATCCAGCTGAACCGCAATGAAGAAAATAATTGATTGAATTTCAAGCCCACCTAATATAATACAAAGTTAGCATATTTTACAATACCAAAATTGCCGGAAGCATACAATAAAGTGCTAAATAGTTATTAAAAAATCTTGTTCTACACATCTGACCATTTAGTCACCGTGCGCCCTGCAGGTCTCCATGCCCTCCCGTTCATAGCGACAGCCCGGTGCGACAATGACCATCCATGTAGAGGGGCTTGTGGCTATCGCGCTCTTCTATATGCTCATCCTGTTCGTGGGCATCTGGGCGGCATGGAAGAACAAACACTCCGGGGAGGCGGAGGGCACCGACCGCAGCGAAACCATCATGGTCGGAGGGAGAGACATTGGATTATTTGTCGGAGGTTTTACTATGACAGGTAAAGTCTGTATTTTTGTAAATGTGGCTTTTAAGTTGCTATGACTGTGTACATTAACTTTAAATATAGTAGGTTAAAGACATTTAATATTTTCTATAACGTGAAGTTGAAAATACTGAACATTTTGTAATGAATAACTTGTTTTTATTTGTTGTTTTTTTTTTGTTTTTTTTTAAATGAGTGCAAGCATTTAATGAGTGCATTTTGTTAGAGGTCACTGTACCAGCTTTGGCCTTGACGACAATATTCAAAATTTGCTTCTTGGTTAAAGAATAAGTGTTTTTATTGATATGTGTTTAAACAAAAAAATGCCTAATAGATGTTATTTGAAGATAATATTATCTCCAGTGGTGACATTTTTGTGTGTGTGTGTGTGACATTCAGCGACCTGGGTTGGAGGCGGATACATCAATGGCACAGCTGAATATGTGTATTTACCTGATTATGGTTTGGCTTGGGCGCAAGCTCCCTTTGGATACGCCCTCAGTCTTGTCGTGGGTGAGTGGAGTAATGTGTTGATCATATTTTGAATACATAGTGAGGATTTGCACATCAGCTATGTTTCTACACATTGACACTGAAAATCCCTCACACATTATTTTATGATGTATATAAATATACACTTGTGAGTTAAAAATGTGTCAATTTGAAGCAAAAGACTAGATTTCTGAGTTCTGGATGGAGGGTGCCACAGTTCAGTGATGTGTCCCTTTTTGTCCCAGGTGGTCTTTTCTTCGCTAAGCCCATGCGCTCACGAGGTTACGTCACCATGTTGGACCCATTCCAGCAGCTGTATGGAAAACGCATGGGTGGCCTCCTCTTCATACCTGCACTGATGGGAGAGATCTTCTGGTCCGCTGCCATCTTGTCTGCTCTGGGTCAGATAAAACTTCAACCGCTGCAAAAACAAACAAAAAAAACCAAAGAACCTGTGTATCTTGATTTATTTTTTCTACATGATGTAGCAGTGTAGATAACATCTGTGTGTTTATGACCTTAGGTGCGACTCTGAGCGTCATTGTGGACATCAACATTAAGATGTCCGTGGTTATCTCAGCTCTTATTGCAATCTTCTACACGCTGGTTGGAGGACTTTACTCTGTGGCCTACACTGACGTTGTGCAGCTCTTCTGTATCTTCATCGGCCTGGTAGGTTCATGCTGTGCTCAAATGAAAAGTAGACAACAGCAACTACTTAATGTAAATATACTTTGACCTTGACCTACCAAACCACTCAGAGAATGAAGCACAACATGCTATTCCAAGGGAACCCAAACATTTACAATGACACTGCAAAGATTTATTTTCTTACAAATTGAATGGAAATTCCCAAAAAGTACTTAAGTGCGATTAATAATAAACAAAAAGTCATGATAAGCGTACTGCCTAAATGTGTTTGTGAATGACTATTAAGTCCTGTGCTTGTTTCTGATGGTTTACAGTGGATCAGTGTCCCCTTTGCCTTGACCAACCAGGCCGTGTCAGACATCACTGTGACTGCAGTGAAGCACGTGTACCAGTCGCCCTGGAGAGGCAGCATCGACAAGGGCGACACCTGGGTCTGGATTGACAACATCTGCCTCCTGGTACAGTTACATCTCGCTTCTCCTCTCTTCCTTTTTCAGAATTCAGTCAAAGAAAACCAGTGCCCTCTTTAACTGAATATATTATTAAGGAACTCAATTTCATCATGCTTGCCCTATTTTTTCATGAATTCAATTGTAGGTAATGAGTCAGTGATAATTATGATCATTATTTACTCATTTGGTAAGTGAAAAGACGACAAGAATGAGGCATTTGATTCTGGTTTTCTCTGGTTGAGGTGTCTTTGTTTTTTTAATTCTTCGACAATGACTACAAATGGACCAATTTATACCTAGTCTCTATATAATTCTTCAGTGATAATCATTGTGATAAAGACAGCTGTTTGTTAAATTAATCCATTTAAAATAGGTTTCATTTAAGTTTTTTTTCCCTGGAGTTTTTGCCCATCAAAATCAAGTGTCTAATGATTGGAGTTGTCATAGGCTTTGTAGGCAAGGCAACAACAAGGCAATTCAAAGTGCTTCACACAAGACATCAAAAGCATCACGACAGAGGAAAAAAATAACATTAAAATAGAAAGTTTAAAAATCACTGAAATTATTAAATCTGAAAATATGTTCAAATAAAAATCATTAAAATGAAATTAATTGAAATAAATAAAGTTAAAATATAAAGAAAAAGTTACAGTGCAGAGTTAAAGTTTAAAATGTACTAAAGTTGTTTAATGAAAGGCAGCTGTAAACAGGTGAGTCTTCAACCTGGATTTAAAAGAGCTGAGAGTTTCAGCAGACCTGCAGTTTTCTGGGAGTTTGTTCCAGGTGTGAGGAGCATAGAAACTGAACGCTGCTTCTCCGTGTTTGGTACTGACTCTGGGGACAGAGAGCAGACCTGTACCAGATGACCTGAGCGGTCTGGTTGTAATGAATCAATAGGTCACTCACTTGTAGTAAAAAGTCTCTCAAGACAAACTTGGGATTTGGGGCTTAAAGATAAAATATACCCACCTTAAAGAAAGGTATTCACTGGCCTGTAAATGTACCACAGATGCTGGGAGGAATACCCTGGCAGGTGTACTTCCAGAGAGTCCTCTCAGCCTCATCAGCCACCTACGCTCAAGTCCTCTCCTTCCTGGCTGCCTTCGGGTGCCTCGTCATGGCTGTTCCCTCTGTGCTCATCGGGGCCATCGGGGCCTCCACAGGTAAGAGAGTTCACACGTGAGCTTGCATATACGAACAGTCTGTGTTTGTGGGGGTCTGGAAGGGAGGCTATGGATGGGCCCATGATGCTCTTAGATCTAAGAGAGCCGGGTAAATAGCAGCTGGTTCCCCTCATCCATAATGAATCAGCAATCGGTTTAATAGTGACGCTGGTTGTGTAAATATTACATTAGATGGAGGCGAGGGAGCAAATTAGAGGTTTGATCTCCAGATTTTAAGGCGTCACATTTCTTGGTTAACATCTGAATACATAGTTTAAAAAATAATGAACATCAGCCATCATTATAGAAACAAACAATATACATATATATACTTTGACGATACTTATTTATCTGTATTAAATCCTATTTCTTGAAAAGAAATTTCTTGAAAAGAAATAGGATTTTCCTATTGTATTGACTCCCCTTTTAATAATGCATGTCTGATGCATTTTTAAAACTGAACTGCAATGTTTCCATTCCATTTATTGAGTAAACTGTGGCATCATTGCTCGTTTTTTTTTCAGTATTATGAATGTTAAATTGTAAATAATATTAATTTCTGAGATATCTGTATAAACTTGATTCCTCTTTAGATCATGTACCTTTGTCATCTCTTTATCTACGGTATGTCACACTTAACATGTACTGTCACTTTAAACACTCACTGAACTTTGTTCTGCACCCAGACTGGAACCAGACCTCGTATGGTGCCATTCCTCCGAAAGACAAGGACCAAGCCGACATGATTCTTCCCATTGTGCTGCAACACCTTTGCCCGCCATTCGTCTCTTTCTTTGGCCTGGGCGCCGTGTCTGCTGCTGTCATGTCATCTGCCGACTCCTCCATCCTTTCCGCAAGCTCCATGTTTGCGAGAAACATCTACCAGCTTGCATTTAGACAATCGGTAAGCACATGCGATTGTGTTTTTTTCTGTTCAGGTAGCGATGTCAGTTAACAGATGTCTGGCTAAGTCAACACTTAAATCTGTTTCTGTTAGCTTGTGTTTGGATGTTCTGCATACATCTCAATCCTTTTTCCTACACCTCTGTTTCTCCTCAGGCGTCTGACCGTGAGATCGTATGGGTGATGCGTATCACCATCTTTGTATTTGGTGGCCTTGCCACTTTGATGGCGCTGGTAACCGGGACAGTTTATGGCCTCTGGTACCTGAGCTCGGACCTGGTTTACGTGATCATTTTCCCCCAGCTGATCAGTGTCCTCTTTGTCAAAGGCACCAACACGTACGGCTCGGTGGCTGCCTACCTGTTCGGAATGTTTTTACGAATCGGCGGAGGTGAACCCTACCTGCAGCTGCCTCCTTTCATTTACTACCCCGGCTGGACCACTGAGCAGAGGAAGCACCACATTACTGGAGACATGGAGGAAGTGATTGTCCAGAAGTTCCCCTTTAAGACTGTCTCCATGCTCGCCTCTTTTCTTGGTAACGTTGCTGTCTCCTACCTGGCAAAGTACCTGTTTGAGAGCGGGAAGATTTCACACAAGTACGACTTTCTAGACGCGGTGGTGTCTAAACACAGTGGAGAAATTATGGATAAGACCACACTTGTAACTCGTGGCAACAACATCGGGCTGTCAGAGATGGCACCCGTTAAACCGCGGCTGAGCGTGACCTTGGCGGCAGCCTTCACACGCCGTGACACGCTGGCAAAAGAAACAGTGGAAGAGGAGGAGGAGTCAAGCCCTGACTCCTCCCACCATGATGATGAATGACAAACTGAGGATGGGATTTAAAAACACAGAGACATGATGGGAACTGCCAGATAACTGGTTACTCTGTCATATATACTGGAACAAAACAAAGACTAACAGACGACAGGGGACAATGCCCCTGGAACTATGTTACCACCACATGCCGCTTTGTGGTGATTGGATAAATTCCACATGTCTGGATATATAGTGTAGCAGCTTGCTGGTCGTCTGGACATAAACTTGTCTTTCAGTGAAGTTCTTCCAACCATACATTTAATCATATAAAACTTATAGATAGTTGGGTGTATCATATTCACCTTTTTTGAACTGGTTTGGAGATTTACTTGGTTTGACTGGTTTCATTTTCTCCTCCATTCACCTTGTTTGCGCGGAAGCCATTTCTCTCGCCGTCACTCTCAACGGGAGGAACTCAAATGCCGCCATCATGTTGTACAGCTGTGTTTAGGTTCTCAAGATGTTTTAACATTTAGAGCATTCCACTGCTTCCTGACTAATCAGCAACTTACAAATGATGACAGTGATGGTGAAAATCTGTCGTGATATTGGGACCTATTTCATGGTCAACAACTTATGATATAACAAAATAGCTACTGCCAGACAACACCTATTGATAGCATGCAACCCCTTTTTTTTGGTAAAATTACCGTTAGCTAAAAATGAATGCCTGTCCTGTCACATTTTGTAAGACTAAGGTACTAGGTACCGGCTAACAGTTAAGTTAGCAAGTACGTGGCTTAAGCTTATGTTAATTGTTGTACGATACGATACGCTTTATTGTCCTCTTGAGGAAATTTGTCTTGGAATCAAAGCGCTGGCAAACATTCAGCTGCTTTCACTCGAATCAGTAAATAAAAAAACAATAGAAAAACCACATCCACACATAAACAAAAAGGCACCTACCAATACAGAACAACACAACATATATTGCACAAGATCTGCAAAAACACAGCATGAGAGATACAATTACAAAGGTAAGAAAATATAAAAAGCCTACAGGGACACCATGACGCTTTTGTCTTACAGTGAAATGGGTTTTCAAATATGATGATTTTTTTTTTAATTACTCTATGCCCACCCAGAGTTTCACTGTTCACTTTCTTCTCAGTTGCTTACAGTCTGATAGCAATGAAATGATTATATTTTGTCTGATTCACTTCGTTTATAATTATTTTAACCTGAAACACAGCAATGCTAAATTATAGCAGCATTTGAGCTTCCTGCTCTGAGTTTGACGTCTGTGGAAACCAGTCGCTGTCTGAATATGATCAATAATTCTAAAAGAGGATATGCCAAAGTATGTGTAAAATAAAAAAAGAGCAATATCACATACACACTCTTGATCATCTAAAAAGAAATGATGCAATGAAAACAGGATAAATGATGGCTTTAATACTGCAGATCAAAACACTAGATTTATCTGGATTTTGATTTCTACATTATTTCACAGAGTAAATGTCATAATGTTAAATCGACTTTATATAATAACTACATCCAAAAACGTAATTTTTAATTTGATAAAGTTTTGACAGGCTTTCCTGTGTAACATTTAATATTAATATAAGACACATCATGACTGTGAATCAACAAAGAAACCACCCCATGTATCATGCTGAGTAGAAAATATACGTAGTAATGGTAGTTAACTTGAAGCATTAGATCAAACTCTCTTTCCTGTCAGGTTAGCAGCAGTTTTAAACCTAGAGTCAGTGTAATTTAGTGTTTCACAAGGATCTTATATTTAACTGCCTTAATGACGCTCAGAAGAAGAGAAACTATATTTCCACAGCCGTGACTGAACTCCAGTCAGACTGCAGCGAACAAAGACTTGAAAATGAATGTAACCTCTACAGAAGATCTGAATATATCAAGTAGTGTACTTCTGCTGTTTGTGTATGTTTTGAGTTTGTGATTTTAGCGAAGTCAAACTGTATCTGCTGCAGTAATGCTGCAGGGTCTTTAAAAAAAAAAAATCTGTTCTTGATTTGTCCTTAACAGCAGTGTAGAGATGATTTTCTTCGTCATGTGTATGTTTGTATAAATATGGAGATAAAAAAGGCTATATATATATATAATATATATATATATAAATAAATATAAAAGTAATGTTCATGTAAGATGGAAAGGATGCTGTCTAAATGTTTATTTATTTTTGATGTCATAAAAGATGAAACAATAAAAAAGAATAAGTTATCAGGAAATATATATAAATTCTGCTTCTCTAAGGAAAAAAATGGTCTACCATATTTTCTGTTTGCTGGCTCTTGTAGAAAAGAAGTCTACGTATGAAATCTTTCCACAAAGATTGTTTTAGGGCTGTTTGTTTTTTTTCCCAATGGAATCTAATTCTTAAACAGCAGATAATTCTTGTCTTTAGAGATAATAGTTACATATCTTAAAAACAAAATAATATGTTAGACTTTTCTTTTTTGTGTTGTATCAGGTCCTTAAAAGTCGTCAATCTACCCTCTTAAAATTGTCAATGTTAAAAGACTCGTACATTTTTGTCTTGTAGGACTATATATTTTTTATGATTTCCTTTTCTGCATATATTTTAAGACCCATCAGATTTATTTGACGTGCACTTTGGAGAATGCTATAGGATGGTTACAGCCCATTTGAACACATTTTTTGTTTTCTCCTCAGTGTCTAATTTGAGGTTTCTGGCTCGTATTTTAAAATACATTGCTGCATGTTTCAGTCAAATCTAGTTGCATAAAAAAAAAAATCTCTCTCTTAACAAAAGCTAGCATTGAATTTTCAGCCAGTGGCAGCTCCTTCTTGTCCGTAAGGCCCTTCAGCTAGCAGGAGGTTAGACGCAGAAAGAGAACATGTCAGAAAACGTGACTGAAATTACAATCGCTTGGCTTGCATCTTTGTCCCCCCTCGATGGCCACAGTGAAAGACAGCATCTTAAAATAGCTCTCCTCTCTGGTTATTTACATTATCTTAAGTGCAGTACTCTCTCTCCAGTCCGGGACTCGGGGAGGAGCCAGTCGGGGGTGGGTGGGGTTGTTTTGGTTCATTTGGAGAATAAGGACTTGGGTGGGGGGTTTCGAACAGGATGTAGCTATAAAACTCTGCCGACTCTGATGCGCAGGAATGACGCTGCTGCCCCACCCATCCACTGCACCTCCTCCCTTCCGCCTGCGACGTCCTTTTCGTCGTCCTTGAGAACTAAGACCAATCCCATAAAAAGAACAGAGGGAGGAGAAAAGAGAGAAAGTGTCCCATCACCATTCATAGAAAGTACCTCAGAGAGCACTCATGATAATTAACTATTATGAAGGAAAACTGTTGCTTGTCCAAAAGTCAATCCATTTATTTACGTAAGAGGAGAGGAGATGGTTGGGGGGATGGTTTCTGCGTAGGACTCTCTCTTCAAGAGCATTTGGATGTGAACCAAAACAGATTCATTCGTTCATTCTCCTGGATATTTTTAGAACGCCCTTTAAGTCAGGAAATTTGGTGAGATTTATAACTGACAGATATTTGGACTCTCGTCTTGATTGGTTTCTTCTACTTTCTTCTAGAATAGGTCTAATTAACCTTATATTAACCCAGAACCCCCTAAATGAGAGATTTTCTAAAACCTTAAATGCTCACACTCAGCTGGACTCCATACTCTCCTCGCTAGTCCGAGGGAAGGTTTCTTTAAGTTTTTAATTAGCTCCCAAAAGGAGAAACCAGCCGACTTGTGGCTCTGACTCAGAGACAGATGTGTTCTTTTTTTTTTTTAAATGATGAAATATAACCATTTCCTCCCTTTTTTTATATGCTCCAGCACTTTTGACTTGTTTTCCCAGGTAGACCTCAAGAGATAAAAAAGGAATTCTGGGAATCAAGGCCCCACCGCAGCTCTTCTCTTCAACGTGGACACGAGGAGATGAGATTACAGCAGAACAGACGGTGCTTCAGATAGATATCTAATGAGCTGGAGTCAGGATGAACTTCAGAGAGACGACCTAAAGCAAGGTGACCGTCTCTGAATTACACCACTGGCTGGGCATGTTATTTGAGTGAAGGAATTCCTTTTTTTTTGTTAACTTGTTTGTTCATTTTCAATAGATTGGAATAGGACACACATTTGTCCCAAACAGCTAAAGCACTATGTTTAAACACATTAAATCCAAATGAAAAACAGCACAAATAGTATGTCATAAACAATAAGTAAAGAATTTAGAATTATTTAAGGATTACATGCTTACATGAGAATCAAAAAATCAGCAGCATAATGGTAGAGAAAAAAGAAACGTCTTGAAACCTATGTTGCATGTTTAATTTCAAGAGACACCATCAATTTAAGACATAGGGATCAGTTTACTCGTCAGTTAAATTACTCAACAAAATGACTCCTTCATTAAAGTTTGAGGGGCAGTTTTTGGGTAAGGACTGCTTGAAGAACACATTTTTAACTGCATCACAATAACTTTAGGGTGCAGCTTTTTTTGTGAGCTGCAGCACAAAAAACCCTCACTTTCTGCTGCCTTGGTTTTTTACCTCTTTTTCAAATATGTCTCACACAGGACATCGAACCTTTGGATCTCCCCGGAACAGGAGTAATGTATGTGAAGAAGATCATGAAGGTAATCAAAGAATTCTCCACACAACTTTAACATCTGTGTTCACATATGAGCTGAGCAGTGCCTTTAACACTAAAGACTAACACCTCATCTGACCCAAGGTTAAATGACCCCTGACCCCCAAAACACAACCCAGTCTGCAGAATCAATATTTGTTATTGTCTGCTGAAAGAAACATTTACATAACGCAATTAGGAAAGTGACTGGATATATCAGATATTCTACTTTAAATGAAAGATTTATTTATTTATTTTTCTAGCTGTGGAAATAGCTTAAATTATCTTCTCCTTTTCGCTTAAAATTCCAGAATCTGGTAATAGACAAATATTTTCAGTTTACTGTACAACAGAAACGTCTTGTAGGCCTCAGTTGTTTTTTTATGTGCTACTTTAAAGTTTCATAATGAACTTAATCTGGCTCCCAAAACAATGCACTGCACATCTTAAACCCATATATTGCAGTGATGGTGAGACATTTAAGTGAACAAATACATGCAATTTTTTGATGTTTGTATGTATGTGTGTGTGTGTGTGTGTGTGTGTGTGTTATTGTACACCCAGGGAAAGCGAAATGTATGTATTGAACATGATGTAGTGCATCAGATAAAGATCCTGGTTTTTACTCCTGATAGACTGACACAAGACAGCTCATATCTCATCTGAGGCACCAGCATCACGTCGCTGGGCCACTATTTATGTCCTGCTTAAGTAATGTCTGCTGTAATTCAATTTCAAGGAAGCTAATTGAAACATCGGAAGAGGGCGAGGGATGAAGAAGGGGAAAAACAAAAGATGTGACAGAGGTTTGAGAAGGTGAAATGTGCGACTATGAATGTTCTATATTTAGGTTATAGTTTTTATACTTATACATATTGTACTTAAATAAATCCTCTGTATACACAAGTACAGACACATACCAAAATAAAATAATGCCATGTCTAATTGTTTCCCATATATCTCTCCATCTCCTCCATTAGTCCCTCCAAGCAGCTGAGGAGCATCTTTAGCAAAATGAATGTAGCGGCTGCTCTAATCGAATCAGCCACTAGAACCCAATTATGGAAGCAGCTTTGTTCCACTCGGGCCGGCTGCAGGTAGACCGTCTGGAGCTCCACACAGGAATGAGGTGACTGCTCTGAAATCAGCAAAACCCAAAGATTGTAAATGAGCCACAGTCATGAATCAGCTGCACTGATTTGAAATTACAGCTTAGAGTCAAACAGTTTGAACGATTCTTCAGATAGGCTACTA